CACCATGCCATGACATGCATAAGCACACAACAGATGCTGCTACTAGCTAGCTTGCACTGGTAGGGAATCTCAAACTGTTCTTGCAAGTTTGCATCATATCCCTCGGGAGGAGCATAAGTACAAACCAAGCAAAACTAACATAAACTGCTTGCTGCCAATGGATTGATGAATAAAGCTAAATAAAACAGCGACGGCGATTAAACCACATTCAGACATGTATATTTTACATTAACTCAAACAGCAGGGTTCAAACAAAGTAGTACCAAACAGACTTAACAGACTAGTACCTTTCCGGGATTGCGGCTGCAATTGGAGCTGCGAGTCACCAGGCACAGGCCGCCGAGCCGGAGGAAGGAGCCTGGGGTCTTTGCTCGAAGGGGTCTTACCGCTCTATCAGGAACTAAGCTAGCAGTACAATCCCATTAACTAATGCCACACTACAGAAATTCCAACTCAATTAAAAACTGAATGATATGTATGTAGCACAAAGTAAAGATTAGTTTCAATATTTAGCTATCAAAATTGTCATCTGTGCATATGTTCAGGTTTCATACAGTTTTTTATATATTGCATAAATAATTGAACTGATTAGTTGAAAAAACCAAGATAACTGTCCTAAACAAAACGCAAGCTGCTGCAACTGAACAAAGAAGATACAGGCTAGCTGATTAGCTACTTACCTGTTTACCTGATGCAATATTGGTGCCGACATGCTTGGCTGAATTGAGGTCCTGAAACTAGCTTTCTCTATTGGCATAATACTTGCATCCTACCAAGGTGACGCTGGAAGAAACATTTTGGTGAGCAGGTTAGGAGCACAAACAACACACCTCAATGGACTTGGCGTTGAGGAGATCCTCGATGTAGGCGGCCTGATTCTCTCTACCTTGGGCGCCGAGGCCGGGCCGGGAGCAGGACCGTGACCGGGCGGCCTTCTGGGTCGGGGAGGGCGCCCGAGGGGCGGTCGGGGGGAGACGTCACCAGAGGAGACGCCGCGGCTGGCCGCTGGGGAGACATCGCGGGAGGAGACACCTTGGAGTGGACTGAAGGAGGAGGACGTATGGACGCCGGATTGGTGAGGGAGAGTCGACGGGGGGAGGAGGGGAGGCACCGCGTCGGCCGCCCTCCGGCGCAGGGGGCTCGCTGCCGTCACCCGTCAGAGCCGTTCTCCTGTCTCGCAGTGTCGATGGCTGAGGGAGACTCGCCTGGGGGATGAGGAGGGGAGGCGCGGCGCAGGGGACTCGCTGCCGTCGAAGCCGGTCTCCTGTCCCGCAGTGTCGGTCGAGGATTCGTGCTGCGGGCGACAGCAGACAGCGTGGCGCTGCAGCGGCGGCGGCGGCGGCTAACCCTAGCGGGAGAGAAGAGGATAGGAGGAAGTACTCAGGGAGACGGGAGATGGGGATCAGCCTGGGCAGATTTTAGCCGAAAACCGTGAACCGAACCGAACCGAACCGAACCGAACCGAAGTATCGGTTGTTCGGTTGTTCGGTTTCTGTTTTCAGCGAGTTCGGTGATCGGTGTCGGCTTCGGTTTCTGCGTCAAGTCAAACCGAGCAACCGATCCACCGAGATTTGCAGCCAGAATCGCAGAAAGTCACTCGCCGTCCTCCTTCGCTTCCCATCCATTTCATCCCCCCCAGGCCCCAGCGACTCCAACCCCACCCCTCTGGCCCTCTCTCACTCATTTTCTCTCTCTCTCACTCCTGCTACGGCGAGAGCCAAATCCCTAGCTACCTCGCTCCAGAAGCTTGCTTTCCTCGCCCCTATAGATCTCCCATGTCCGCCACGCAGGCCGGCCAAGCCCAGCGGCGCCCAAGGGAAGCTTCGGTGAGCTAGTGTGGGAGCACTGGGTGCGGTCTGGCGCCGTCATGGCGGCGTTCGTGGTCATGCCGCCATCTCGATCTCCGCCGTCGGGCCCGGCCTCTCGGCCATTGGTGTCATTCTTCTTCCGCATTGCTCCTCTCCACGGCCTTCTTTCCGGTGGCCGTCTCGTCTTTCGCTCGATCTCGCCGCCGCGCCGCGGACGACGCCGATGAGTCCGGAAGGAGCTCATCGACTTCGTCGCGGGTGTCGCCGGACCACCTCGCCCCGGATCTGCGCGCGTGTTCGTGGGTCATTGCAGTGGAGGCCCCGCCAAGCCGGAGATCTAACGATCGCAGATCTTCGGAGGAGGAGGCGGAGAGAGGTCGATGCAGAATGAGCTGTTTCTGTCTGCGGCAGGAGCCCACGCCAGACGCGACGGCGAAAGGGGACTTTGCTGTGGGCGGCGGCGACCAGCGGACCAAGCTCGGGTTAGTTCGGTTAAACCGAAAAACCGAGCGGAACAAACCGAAACCGAATGCGTCGGTTTTCAGTTCTCTCACAAACCGATCGGTTGTCATATCTTGGAAACCGAATTTTTTGGAAACCGAACAAACCGAACCGATTTGTCGGTTTAAACCGAATGCCCAGGCCGAGATGGGGAGGTGCCGACGGACGCAAGCTCGAAGTTAACGCGACTTGATATTTTTTTCGGGTCCGAAATAAATTGACCACAGACGTGGATGCTTTACACGTGTCACTGAGTAACAGGGGCGGTTATCAGTGACGCGTCTCGTTTGGAAGTGTCTCTAAAACTTGACATTAGCGACGCGTATTGTTTACCCGTGTCACTAGTGTAATTCTAGTGACACGTTTCGATTCCGAGTCACTGATTTAGGTGTCTCCTTTGTGCTGTTTTGGCATAGTGGTGATAGGCTGCATCATGAACTAAGTACAGGGAATAAACTTGACTGCGCTATAGAACATCAGTTCAATACTTTTCTGGCTGGCATCTATGAGACACCTCCCGATAGTGAAGTACATGAGAAGATTGAGAAGGCTGTCCAAAATTTGATTCACAAGATAAAATTTTATGAGCAGTATGCCGAAAAGAAGATAGCTATTGCCAAAAGCATTGGACTTGTCTCCTAAGAATCATACATTGTGCAAAGCAATGGCCTTGTCTCCATAATATGCTTCAAACTGTAAATTATCTACAGTATGCTTGAAATTATAGATTCACACAGAATCAAACTGCTGTAAGTTTCTTTTGTTGACTACTGAAATTAAGGGTGCAAGTAGCTGTCGCATGATGGTATTTATGTACTCTGTGGTATTATCTATACTCTATTACTGTAATGGTTATACTGCAGTAGCCATGTGAGATAGAGATTGGATGGTAAAACTGAGGAATTAGGGTTAGTTTGGTCTTTGGAGGAGGGTCACGACTGCCCTAAGTCTAGCCGCACAGTAGAGAGACGTAGGGGGCGGCAGCAGCAGCATGCTGCAGCCATCTGGGCACATGGTGCAACCATAGCTCGTTTTAGGTTGTTTTTGTGTTCACGATATCGTAATAGAGAGGCCTAGATGTTAGTAACCTTTTTAGTTTGTTTTTTCAAGTTTTGTGTACTACTTTTATGTTTCTTGGTCACACTTGTACCTATGATTGATATCTATCCATGAAGATGTAGGTGTCTTTGACCATCTTTGCACCTAATTTATTTTATTGTGAGATAGTGTAGTTGGCCATTAGTTGCATGTTGAGTCTAAATTTGAATCTCATGTTACGGTTTACTAAACTTTGTGTATATTATCCTTGAAACCATGGTTTTGGGTGGGTATAGATGTAAATTTTGACTAATAAACTATACAACATGTGGGTTGCGCTAGGTTAAATGTAAATTTTGACTAATAAACTATACAACATGTGGGTTGGTAATGTTTTAGCAACTTGGAGAATAGGAATCCGGCAGGATGGATGGTTTGGCTAAGGATGTTTCATTATATGAAATGGTGCATACCATGTCATATGATGGTGATCGGATGTTGGGTTTGTGCCAGTTCCTGCCCGGATTTTGACTGGTTCATGGACATGTCACCTGCCCAAATAATTAGTTTTGTCCAAGTTTGGTTAGCATTGGGTTGGTTTGTGTGGTACAAGAGGGGTCCTATGGGGTCGCTGACTAATGTACGGGGAAGAAACCTTAGTGAAGGTGTTAGACAAGCTTCGTTAAGGCCTTGTAGTGAAACCCAGCCACGCATCTTGGAAATGTGATATGGGGTACGCTACCCCTGACAAACAGAGGGATTACGACTCGTGATGAAAGTGTGCTAAATCTGTAGAGTGTACAACTGATATATCAACTGTGCTCATGGTCGAGAGCGAGCCTGAACTTCTTCGTAATTAATGGATCATTGTGGGGAGTCCGTGCATGGACATTAATCTCCTGGTGACATGGGTATGGAAGTTTGCTTCTATATATGCGTGCTCTATGAGGACTAATACATATGGGTGGACCCTATGGAATTGATCCAACGGGAGCTTGGATGGAATCCAAGGGTGGTGGTTGGTTTGGTTTTTTGAGAAGATGATGGTTTCAACTAGTAATTAGGTGCTAAGGATATCAGTAAGGATATAAGGCAATATGATGAGTCACTTCAAGACCGGTGTCAAACCCCATAAGCCTTTTCTTAATTTAAGCCCATCCGTATATGTTCCTACACTTGCGGAGTACATTTCGATGTACTCACCCTTCCACTTTGCTCCCCTTGCTACTCCACCCTCTTGTTTGGACTTGGAGACAGAGTTTCATGAAGACGGTGCTTGAGACTTAGGCTGGTGTACCCCCGGTCGATTGCCTATGTACATTGGAAGACCCTGCTTCGCTAAAGTTATCTGTGTAATTTTGTTTTAGACCCTCTGGTCATTTTGTAATAAGTTATTGCTTTTGTAATAAACACTGTGATGTATCACTATAATGTCATTGCATGTATGGATGAATTGATCCTAGCATACGTGTATTGTGCATTCGATTTTGTCCTTAAAACTAGGTGCGGCAGCTGTAAATGATGAGGCACTTGAGTAGAAAATGGTTTCATTAATTTCGTCATCTCAAAAGGTCAGCATTTCCCATTCCTATTCTTGTTTCTTTCTCTTTGCTTAGTATGGTTTAGATTAAATCATAGTTTTGATTCCGTGTATTATTCACTGTATGTCTATGGCGAAAAAGCAAAAAGACAAGGTCTCTAAGTAGTAAGAACCCGGTTTTCTCACAACGGTATACGGCCCCCACCCTTATCCTACGATTGTGGCTGCTATGAGATTCGCGCACTAGAAAAGTGCACCCGGAAAAGCACACTAGGAAGGGCGCTGGCGCATAGGGAATGGAGCTGGCATGAATCCTAAAGCGCTAACGGACGGTGGCTGATAGGGGAGGCAGCCGCATACTATTGCAGTTTCGCATTTATGTAAGTAGTAAGCAACCAGGTCTTGTAGGCGAAGGGCCCAAGGCAATTTATGTCTTTTAACAGCCTTCCCTTAGTTCGTATGCCTTTTTATTTCAGAAATGTTATACAACACACATGTGTTTTAGTACGAAAAAACACATGAATTTTTTGCACAAAGAAACACACAGTGAGCGGCAGCGCAGCACCAGCAGGATGTACGTAGGGGAGGCCTGGACGGCATGGGAAGCCGCCTGGGGGACAGTGCGCCCAGCAAAGGAAATGGCCAGCTGGATTCCGATGAAGAGGAGACAGATTTTCATTCGACAGCGCCCTCTGCATCCATCGTCTCCGCTGTATAATTTGTCTTTCCATAGAAAAAAAATTATTTTATGTGATATGTGATCTATGATCTGTGATCTTGTGATTGTCTGAAGGTAGAAGAAGGCTAGAGGTAGAAGAAGGGTGGAGGCTGTTGGATCTTAATCTTATGGTGCAAAAAAATTAATGTGTTGAAATTGCATAAAACACATGGTTGTGCAGTAGACAGACTCTATTTTATTTGAGATTCTTTTCAATCTCAGCGTGGATCTAGCACCGGTGCTAGGTGGGATAGAGCCCCACTTCCTCTATTCTAAGCATGGAGCCCCTCCAAAACCCCTCTATAAATTGGTAAACCACGGAAGCTTGGAAGAAGGGGCTAGAGAGTGTAAAATAATACAAGAAGCCTCTCCTAACTTATTTTTCTAGATTCGCTAGCAGACACAAGCTTCTTGCTATTATACTCTTTCAGTTTCCCCATGACATACTCATCGATGGCGTCCACCATCAAGAGGACTTCGTACCCCTTCTTCTTGAGCTGCTCCAGGAACGGAGAGTTCTTGACAACCTTGTCGCTGTCACCGGTGATGTAGTATATGTCGGTCTGCCCCTCCTTCATGCGCGTGACGTAGTCCTTGAGGCTCGTCATCTCATCGCCGCTCTTTGTGGAGTGGTAACGCAGTAGGTCGGCCAGCTTGGCACGGTTTTCAGAGTCCTCGTGGATGCCTAGCTTGATGTTCTTGGAGAAGGCGTCGTAGAACTTGGCGTAGTCGTCCTTGTTGTCGGCGATCTCGAAGAACATCTCGATGCACTTCTTGACGAGAACCTTGCGGATGACCTTAAGGATCTCGTTCTGCTGCAGCATCTCACGGGAGATGTTGAGCGGCAGGTCGTTGGAGTCCACGATACCCTTAATGAAGCCAAGCCACTCCGGGATAAGCTCTCCGCAGTTGTCCGTGATAAAGACACGGCGCATGTAGACCTTGATGTTGTTGAGCTTCTTGCGCATGTTGAACGGGTCCACCGGCACGTGGAAGGGCACGAAGACGATGGCCTTGAACTGCAGATCATCCTCAACCGAGAAGTGCTTCACGGCAAGGTAGTCTTTGCAATCATTTGTCAGGAACTTGTACAAGGAATTGCACTCTTCGCGCGTGACCCCTTTCAGGTCATGCAGCCTGATGTGCCTCTGCTCGTTGATCTCCACCCACTCGTGGTCCACCAAACTCTTTCGATTGTTCTTAATATAATCCAGGCGGGGAAGCTCTCCCCTCCCTAGTTTCTCGTCAAAAGAAACTTTCTTCTTCTTTTTCTTGCCTTTGTCGTCAATCTCCTCGATGTCATCGTGTTGGTCCTTATCATGGCCGATATCCCCCTCTGTAGTCTTCTCGGTCAAGAGATAGATGGGATAGGCGATGAACTCGGAGTACTTCTTGATGAGATCCTTGAGGCGGTCCTCCTCAAGATACTGGAGATGGTCATCCTTGAGGGAGAGTGTGATCTTGGTGCCTCGCCGAATGGGCTTGTTAGTGGTGTCAAGCGTGATGGTGAATGACCTGCCGCCCTGGGACTCCCAAATGTACTGCTCGTCGTCGTTGTGCTTGGTGGTGATGACGACCTTGTGGGCAACGAGGTACGCAGAGTAGAAGCCGACCCCAAACTGGCCGATCATGGGGATGTGGGTAGAGCCTGCGTCGAGTGTCTCCATGAACTCCTTTGTTCCGGAGCGCATGATGGTGCCGAGGTGGTCGACAAGGTCGGACTTTGTCATTCCGACACCAGAGTCGATGATGGAGAGCGTCTTGGTGGTCCTGTCAGGGACGATGCGGATGCAGAGCTCTTCAAGCAGCTTCCTCTCGAAGTTGATCTTGTCATGCGCCTGCATTGGCATGCCGTGGATATTGTTGAGTTCGTGAGATTCAGTTGCGCGGAGCATTTCAGTTAGCGAAACAGAGCACTTGAGGAAACCGAGGGGTGGTGATGAATGAATGAAATAAAACAGAGGACATGATCAGGAATCAAGAACTTACGTCGGATGCATTGGAGATGAGCTCCCTGAGGAAGATCTCCTTGTTGGAGTAGAAGGTGCTGATGACGAGGGAGAGCGGCTGCTCGATCTCGGTCCGGAAAGTGAAGGTCTCCACATCTAGAAAACAAAGCGGAAAAGTTATTCGTACGGGTATACAAGCACTAGATTATCAGACGACGGTACAGATTAACCTATCGGATAACGTACTGGAGTAGAGCAAGGCGTTGGGTGAGTAGTAGGACTGATTTGCATGGCCTGCCATAAGCCATACGATGGTGACCAGTTCGCCGCCGCTGCTGAGCTGCCTGGCATGGGATTCTCTGCTGCAGTGATCAGCAACAAAGCAAAGCATCTCCACCCACACGCCAAAGATGATCTCAAGGCGGCTGTGTCGGTGGTAGAGCATGTCCGCCAGCCTTACTCCGTTGTCGTAATCTGCGGGGTCATCAAAGTTGTTGACAACAGCACGCAACTCGGTGCGCAGAGCCCACTTCACACGCTCCTCTGGCTCCCACTGGCTGTCGCCTGCATCTTCCGTGGTTCGCATCACCCGGCACAGCGCCTCGCGGACATGTTGGTGCCTGCTGCGACGCACTGGACCGGGTAGCATGTAGGGGCGTTCAACCAGGAGGAACATCATGTAGTTAGATACCACACGGATGGCCTCCTTCAGCCTCTCCTTCTTGCTGCGATCCTTGAACATGCAGATGTCACTGGCGATGTGCCACGCGATGATGCTGTCTTCGAAGCCAATGTCTTGGACGCTCCAGCCGAGGTGGTCCGTGAGGCCGAACTCTTTCAGTGTGACCAGACCCGGGAAGGCGCCGACATTGCCGTTGCCACCATCATGTCGACCTTTCCCTACAATCCGTAGCACCTCGCTTAGCACCGACTCCTTGGTTGAGCCCGAAACCTCGACCGACCACGACTGTTGCTGGTTGCCCCTCCACAAGTCCTTGACAAGGCGCATGATCCGGCGCAGTTTGCCATGGGGCTCCCCATGGTCCCGGGCGCAGGACAGCAGCAAGTTATACTGCCCGACAGAGCCGGACCACCTCCTGTTCCTGGCTGCCCCGACCACGTGGCGGAACGATACAAGCTCATCGTGGAAAAAGCTCCATTTGGAGTAACTGTTTGCTGTGTCTGCTGCTTGTGCTTCTTCTTGTTTCATCATCATCTTGTCATACAGCCAGGCCCGTGTCCAGGTAGACCCGACTGCCCTGACCAAGGATGCCATCTCCAGGACTAAGGCCCCGACCAGCAAGACGTAGGAGATGACCACATCATGTCTGCTGTGACCATCTTTGCTGCTTACCTGAAACAGCACGAACGCTACCACTGTGGCAACCGGCGCAATGATGCGGATGCAGAATCCGTACCAGGTGTGGATCACCACCGCCTTGGTGTACATGATGTCGTACATCAGGGACAGCTCCATCTCCATCAGCATGTCCAGGCGGCCACAGAAGTTGAATGACTGCACCACCTGCCCCAGATACGGGCGCTGCAGTGACCTCAGGCCGATGAACAGTCCCTTGCAGACATCCAGCAGGCCGTGTGCCGCCATCAGAACATCCTCTGCATCCAGGCAGTGCCTTCTGACCAGCAACGCCTCGAAAAGTGCATCATTGCCCCTGTCGACGACGCTGGCGTCCGTGTCGAGAGACAGCCAGATGCTATCCATGGTGGCGCACTTGAGCGCCCATATCCTCTCAGCATACTTGAGGACGCCCACCACAAAGATCAGCACCGCAGCCGCGATGACCAAGCTCTCGCTTCCTGGTATGTACTTGTACATGACAAAGACAGCTCCCGCTACCTGCACCACGAGTGTCTGCAGGTGGCGCAACCAGATGCCGTTGTCCTCTATGGAGTAGGCTGTGATGGTATCCTGGCCACCCAGATGCACCAGGAGGAGCGGCGCCCAGAACGCCACCAGCTGGTGCTCCTTCAGCCTGCTGCTAATGGAGAGGTGGCCAAGGGTGAAGAGCGCGGTCGAGTCGGCTAGAAGGTAGGCCAACCACAGAAGCAACCTTGGTACAGGTGACACGTTGTGCCGACGGATCCAAGCAAACAAGAGCAGGAAAACTTGAAGACCGAAGCTCAGAAGGACAAGAATTTGGACTGCCCAATCGTTCAGCAGTGTTGTCAACACAGGGGTCAGTGTTGCGCTGAAATACATTATACCTGCGGACGTTACCATTTCATCCATATTAGTTATATATCACATCTTATCTTACTAATCATGCTCCAAGTTAATTATCACGAGACACACTAAGAAAAAAGGTAAATTCTCACGTTAATTGGTAATAATAGTCATTGAACCTATTATATTCTATTAAAAGCTACACATCATCTCTTCTAATATAAAAAATGCATAAATTAACTACTCCTTCTGGTTCAAATTATAAGACGTTTTGGGTTTTCTACGGAGACATATCTTTTGCTATGCACTTAGATATACATTATGTCTAAATATATAGTAAAAATAATCTACCCTTATAATTTAGAACGGAGGGAGTGCTACGTAAATTATCTAACTCAGTCATAGTGAAAGATAATTTAAAATAATTTTGTATTCAAATAACACCACAACCATCATTACAAAATGTAATCTAATATGACCTCTAAGTTTGCACCCACATGCACCATTACAAAAGGCAATATAAAATAACATCACCATTTTGTATACAAAATTATCCATCTCCATCATTTTAACAAATAAACTAAAATATCTGTTAAATCTATGTATAAATACTATACGATATGATGGGAAATAATTTATATCTCACTCGATCACATAGTTCTATTGTTTTTAAATTAAAATGTGTATAATCCTATGGGCCACCATCTAGACAAAGTAAACATGCATATATAATTATATATTAGAATAAATATTTATTTGAATAGTTTACCAAGTGTGGAAAATGTTCCTTACCAAATCACATATCAATAGCGTTAACAATCACTTTAAATTTAAGCACTATCTATTCCTATTAAAAATTATTTCTAATTGTTCGATACAGCAAATTCAATGTCTCCATTGTTGCAGTGTAGGCTCAAACAACAGATTATACCATTATAGTAAATACGAGCGTAGCAGAGGACCTAAAATCTCTTTTAGTAAAATAAATAAAATTTAGAATAAAAGATATAATAAGTCCTAGATTTTCAATGTAGCATGTCGAAACAAAATTTACAACAACTAAGGAGATCAAAAGTTGAAAACTAAAATATAGATACACTATGTTAGAGAAAGCCATGTTAAGAGCCTAACATAGGGGTATGTTAAGTCCCCCGGTCCGATCCCACGGATCACACGTACCCTCTAGAAGGAGTCAAGACGAGCCCGAGCGCCCGCAGCCACTACTCAAGGCTTGGGGGCTTGGTCACGACCCCGGGCAACCAAACAACGGTGGCTCGAGCCTGACCTCCACTCAGTGGCCGCCTAGGCCAATGCCCGAGCGACAGCCAGCTTCCCAAGCCAGGGGCTAGGATCCAACTTAGGAACCCATCGGGCACCCAAAACCTGACAGGTATGGAAATGCTACGCAACAGGTATAACAGATCAAGACAAGGAACTCCATCAGCTCTTGGGGAAGGGCTCCAAGGGCCGCTCGTCAGCCCCACCAGGCAAAGGCTCCATGTGGACCAAGGAAGCATCGAGAAGGCTCATCCAGGGCATGACAGCGATAATCGCACGAGGGCACCTGACGACGTATTGTGCTTCCCCTGGGCGGAGTACAACATGATAGCTGCTACCTACAATCTCGGCGACATCTTCGACACACCAGACCCAAGGACCAACAAAAAGCTCCGGGAGGCTCGGCGGCTCCTCCACATCGCCCTCGAGCAGCAGGCCGAAAGCTCGGCGTCTCACCGCTGCAGCACCACCTCAAGGCCGTCCCAGCCGACGTCGACCTTCGATGGGGACCGCTCCAATGCCCGTGCCCTGTAGACAGAAGGTAGCAGTGGTGACACCTCCGCTGACAGCATTGACCATCCAAAGACGAGAGCTGCCAACCCTCAGCAAGAGCTGAGGGCTAGGCCCTCCTCCTGCTGACCTCCAACACCAAATAGGATCAGAGAATATCGGGATGTACATGAGAACACCGAGGCAAGGCGTCACACTCAAGCCAAATCATTGAGCCCCGATCGAGGGGAAGGGAGCCCAAGCCAAGACTGAACCGACCCCTAGGCATTTGGGGCCAGAATCCAAGCCACTTCATACTTCAAGAGCTTTTGGCCGCTGACCCACATCAGCAAGTATGACGGGGAGACCGACCGCAACAAGTTGCTTGTGGGCTACTGGCTCGCGATGAGGGCCAGGGGTCAAATGATGACTTCGTAGTCCAGTACCTGCCCCTGCTCCTGTCAAGCATGGCAAGGGCATGGCTCGAGCAACTCGACCTTGGTAGCATCTAGAGCTGAGCCAACCTCCCCTCGACCTTCATTGGTCACTTCTAAGGTACCTACATTCGACCTGGTAACTCTTGGGATTTGCATAATTGAAGGTAGAGGTCGGGCAGGACCTTCTGCGAGTACATCTAGTGCTTCCCTAAGAAGCACAATGAACTCCCCAACATCACGGATGCGGACATCATCAATTCCTTCACATGCTGCACCACCAGCGAGGTGCTCGTCCATGCGCTCTGATGTAAGCCCCCGTAAACAACGCAGGAGCTACTGGATGTTGCCACCAAGTACACCACAGGAGAAGAGGCTATCTTGGCCAACTAAAGTGGCAAAGGCAAGGCAAGCGCCTAGCATAGTGGTGGGGATGGTGACAACGAGGCCGACCGCTGCCGCGACAAGCAGAAGAAGGACAACAAGCACCATGGGGAGGAGATGGTGGCCATGGTCGACCATGTCACCCAACCCTAGTCTAAGGGGAGGATCCATCGCCCCGAGGACTTCAAGAAGGCACTCAAGGGGCCTTGCCCATTCCATGGCGGGTAGGCCAGGCACCTCCTCAAGGACTAGAGGACAATGAGGAGCTCCATCCGAGGAACGCTCTACCTAAAGGGCAAGGTGGGGAGGCTGATGGCAGGTAGGAGGAGGACATCGAGTTCCCCGGGGCTGAGCAATTCCTAATGATCTTCAGAGGTTCCTAGGCCTACGAGTTCTGCCGTTAGCACTAAATCACCGAGCAAGAGTTGAACGCCATCGAGACCATGGCCACCCCGACGTGGCTCTCATGGTTGGAAACGACCATCACCTTCGATCACGATGACCATCCTGACCACGTCCCTGACCTAGGGCGCTACCCATGGCTAACACAATCATGGGCACCATATGCCTATCAATGGTGCCCATGGATGGTGGTAGCAACCTCAACATCCTCTATGCTGAAACCCTCAACAACATGAAGATACCCTGTAGTATCCTCTGCTCGAGCAAGGCACCGTTCTATGGGGTCATCCTAGGCAAAGAAGCTGTGCCACTCGGGTGCATCCACTTGCACATCATGTTCAGCGAGATGGACAACTTCCGCAAGGAGCCACTCACCTTTGAGGTGGTGGTCTTCCATGGCACATACCACGCCTTACTCGGGTGGTCATGTTTCGTGAAATTCATGGTCGTCACTAATTATACCTAAATCAAGATGAAGATGCCCAATCCCAAGGCAGTGATCACCATCAACGCCAGCCTTGAACAAGCCTACTACTGTGATTGGGACTGCGTCGCCCTAGGTGCCATGATCTCCGCATGCCTTGATCCTGCGAGCCCTGGACACAACATAGAAGAGACACTAGAAAGGAAGATGTCCCGGGCGGTGGTGTCATTAGACCGATCAAGCTCCAACAAGGCCCCGGGCACTACTTGTGGTGATTTTAGCTCGGCTGGCCCCTCCACTTGGGTGCTCCAGTCAGCAGAAGTAACCAGCCCGACCAAGGCATGTACTAACCATTCCCCCCAAGGGATGGCCTCAGCTGAGCCACAAGCCTAGTAGTGCGGCACCTTCGGCAAGTGGAGGCACTCGACCCTCTACATCAAAATGGCATCAAGAAGATGGAATGAAAGCTACATAGCTCAATTCTAAGCCTTTAATTTACTTTTTGTACTCTTTCAACTTTCAACTTGAACGAAAATCGTACCCTCGTTGTCATGAACTCTTTCCCCCGAAGAAATGCTATGACCTGGGCTTTCAGCTGCACTCGGTCAACTCACGTGGCACAAGCCACATGAAGTCTACCACGGGAGCACGGACGTGGACCGACCATGCCTAATGAGCACCCTGTGTTTCTTGGACGCTTGGAGCCGACCGCCAATGTAACAGCTATGTTGCTCTTATCCCTCATTTCGTTATTTCCTTTATCTCTATCCTTTTTATCGAATTCTAACATAGTGACAGGTTGAGCCACCCCACAAGCAAACAAAGCAGGACCCCTAGCGGTGACATAGCCAAGGGTTCAAAGCTAGCTGATAAGGCCTCAAGGCCACCGGAGGCACCTAAAAATGTGAGTGATGTTCATAGGCGGGCACAAGTAGCCAAAGCTAGGTGCTCAGTGGTAGAGGCAGCCGCCCCATCAAACGATGTCCAAGTACTATCCTAGAGCTATTCGTTGTAACCCACTAAGGGAGGCAGTGAGCCTCTGAGCCTAGGCAAATGGGCTTGAAAACCAAACGAGTGGCTCAGTTAGGAAGCAGAGAATTGCCCACCGGGGCCTAGGACCAGGACTAGCCAACAAGATACACGGGGTTCTCTCGTGGACTTACCCTCTAGTAGCATGGGTGCGGTGCTCTTGGCCACTGATGCCAACGTCACGCAAGGTCAGCTGAAAGAGGAAATAACAAACTTCGAGCATGACTCTGGAAAAATGGGTTACTCACAAAATAATTCCATTGCATGGGAATGACCCAAGAAAATGATTACAATATACGGCGACAAGAACCACAATAAAGGATCACCTATATGGTGGAAAAAAATAGCAGACGAGGCACCTGACCCTCCAACCAAGCTTTAATGGCACACAAACAGGAGCACTAAAGGTGTGAGCCCTTGGTCCCCGACCATGCAAGGGAAGCTGACCTCCTTGGTTCTGGGACCAAACAAGAGGCAAAGGCTAGACCAGGGATGATAGAGGAGACTGACAGAGGGTGTGGCTCCTCCACCAGTGCACACCGTCACTAGGCCCCGAAGCCAGTCGACCCCCTCTAAAGTGGTGGGTGACGACAGAG